CAAACTCTGCAAACTTCTTCCGGGAAACCCCCAAGAGACAGTGTCATCAGCCCAAAAAGAAAACTGTGACAACTTTCCCAACCCTTTTTGTGTGATTCTTTTTCCTTTTTAAAATCCACGCCCCTTTTCCAAGACCCTCGCATTTACTTTCTTACAACCCCATCTTTAAATATATTAAACAACCACGGGGAAACCACATCCCTTTTCTAAGGCCCCTTTTTCTGGGAAAAAATTTCCCCCTTTCCCAATACTTAAAATTGACCTCCCCTTTTCCTCGTTTTAAAAAATCTTTTACTGCTTTCAAAATAACCCCCCTTTCCCACACCAACACTTGCCAAAAAACTGCCACATTGCCCCCCCCTTTCCCCCCGTAAAACGCCTTTTCCCCCAAAAACCCTAAAAAACCCAAAGACCTTTTTTTGGGCCCTTTTTCTAAAAACTGTTACTTATATGTTTCATGTTAAAAACCTGGTCCACAACCCCCCTTTCCTTTTAAAACCTCCCTTTTTCTTTTTGCCCATCCCTTTTTTCCGTCTTACTCTTTAAAATTTTTTCAATTATAACTCTACCATACACTTTACCCCCTACACTCAAAAATGACTTATCCCCCCATAAATTTTTTCAAATCTTTTTTTCCCCCTTTTCCCTTTTTACAAAGGAAAAATATGATGCTTCTTTCCAATCCCCCAGGGGACCTTCCCCCCTTTCCTACATTTATTTAAAAAAATTGCACCAACCATCCAAAACTAAAATTTTTCCCCCTGCTTTTAACATTTCTATCTTCATCCTCAATCCGGTTTCCCTTTCCCCCCTTTTATTTTTCCTACTGCCTCACGAAATTCCCCCCCATCACAAAATGGCTCTTCCTCCTTTCCCACAAGAAGTTATTCCTCCCTTGGGCCCCCATACACGAAATCCAAAACTTTTCCCCATCTTCCTCAACTTTAACAAATTTCCCCAAAATTTTTTCCTTCCAAACTTTTTCCCAAAACCTCTAACTCCCATTTAATAACTCTCCTTCCTATTTTTAACTGACAAAATTTCCCTTTTTTTCTCTAGGCTTTTTTTAACTTTTTAATCTCACTCCAAAAATTTTTTTTATTTTCAAAAAAATTTTGTTTATTAAAATTTTTCACCCACTCTTCATTTTTCCTCTTTTTACAATTTCTTCACCACTTCTTAACTTCTCTCTTTTTCTCCATATTCTCTTCCCCTTGCCCTCATTCTTTTTGTAAAAAAATTTCTATGCTAACTTTTTTTCCCTTTTTTTCTCTCCCTTTTCATCCAAATTATTCCCCCTTCGCTCCTTTTCCCCCTGCACCCCCTTTCTGAACCACAAAAATTCTGCTGAACACTAAAAAACTTTAATTTTTTTTTCCTAACCCCCTCCTCTTGACCCCATTGGCCCATGCCTCCATTTTGCCCTTTTTTCCCCCAAAAAGCTTTTTTATATCCCTTTCCCTAAAATGCCTCCCCTTTTAGTTTATAAACCCTTTACCTCTCTCTTATATATATTTATATATTATAATATATTTATATTTTATTTTATATATATATTTATATATATAATATATTTATAATTTATTACACTGGCCGATTCCCACCAAGGCGGGTGGCCCGAAAAAAAAAAAACTTTTACCATATTCACTCCCTCACTGTTTGCCCGAAGGGTGCTTTACACTACAGTTTTTTTAAAATGAAAAATTTTCACCCCCCTCCTTTTAAAAGTGCAGGCACTGTACTTTTCCCCTCTCCCCCGGACTCAAATCCGGCCTTTCCGGTTTCCCTGAAAAAACCTTCTAAATGGTTTTCTTTGCCCCACAAAAAACAGGAAAGTCAAGTATTAAAAAAACCCTTTTTCTCCCTTCCCCTCCTATCAAAAAACGGGTCACGCACGCCCCGTGGAAGTTCCCAAACCCCTCGCCACAAAACTCCTTTTCCCCCCCTCTCCAAAACCCTTTTCCCAGGCCGACCCCTACCCCGCCTTCCTTCCCCTACAGACTGTACATCTTGAGTTTTTTTGTTTTGTCCATTTTCTCCACATGTCCGAACCACCTCAACAACCCTTCCTCAGCCCTCTGGACAACAGTTTTGGTAATCCCACACCTCCTCCTAACTTCCAAACTGCGAATTCTCTGCATTATATTCACATATATATAATATGTCTTAGTCTCTGGCTTAATGTAGCTTGGGTTCTTTTCTTTTCAGAAGAGTTTGCTACCGACTTCTAGCAACCATCCAGCTGTGGTGTTACCCTGCGACTCTCGTCAGTGCTACAAAAGCTGTTGTTCTGTAAGGCTATTCCTGCAAGTATGCTCCATGAGTGGATATGGTTTCGCCAAATTCTCCGGTTCAATTCATGATTACTGCTGAAATTCATGATGTATATTACACCTAGGAAGTATGCAAATATTGCAGATCTTAGAAAACATGCTGATTTGAGTGTCAGATCTATGAAAATTTGAGCCTAGTAAAGTCAACTGATGGTCGGATTCTGGAGAGAGCTGACGACACTGGTGATTATGGAGCTCTGCGCCGAGGAAGATGTGGAAGACAACGTAAGACAACACTTCACGATGACAAGGTTCCCATGAGAAATAGTGTGAAGGATTCCAAAAAACAGCAAAGATCTAAAGAAAAATTTGTCTACAGCTGGCATAAATGTTGATTCTTCAACTGTTTGATGGAGGCTCCTTGAAGTTGGCAGAACTGCCAGAAAGCCAGTAAAAAACAATTACTGACTGATGCTATGAAGAAAAAAACGGCTGCGGTGGGCACTCGATCATGAGGGATGGATGACAGATGATTGGAGAAAAAAAAATATTTTCATATGTGGCCATTTTGAAGTACATGGGTACAGATCAGTGGTAATGAGACGGAGCAAAGGCGAACCTCTTACGAATGGACATATTCAACAAGCCAAAACACCCACCTAAGATGTTTCGGGGTAGTTTTACTGCCCAGGATGGCTTGTTATTGTCGAGAGAACGATGAACAGTGACAAATACAAGGTAATCCTGGCAACTCATTTGCTTCTCATTGTGGATAGAGACTTTCCTGATGGACAAGGCATTTTCCAGCAGGATGTTGTTCCATGCTACACTTCCAGAAAAATACTGACATTTTACAAAGAGAGAGTGGGGTAAGCGCTCTAAGTTGACCTGGAAACTCTTTCGACCTCAACCCAATTGAGAATCTATGTGCAATAACCAAACGCAGGATCGTGAAACAGGATTGTTTCACCGTGGAGAAGCTAATTGCTGCTGTTCTTAGGACTTGCTACCATGACGAAGAACTTGCCAAAATGTGTTTAACATTGGTCGCTTCTGTGCCATAGCGTGTAGTAAAGTATACTGATATCTTGTATTAAATCAATTATCTGTCATATCATTACCATTTATTTTTGAAATAAACATTAATTTTCCCAGTAACTGTCTTATCACATCACTGTCCCGATAGGAAATAAAACTTGAGCGTTTCACGTGCTTACTCACTCATCTTCAGAGGAATTGGAAACAGAGGGAAGAGAAGCACATATATGTTAAACCCTGAGGTGACACCTTACTCAGAGGTGACACCTCACCTCACTCAAGAAGTGACACCTCAACTCAAGAGGTGACACCTTAGAGGTGAAAACTTAGCCATACTCCAGTTTTGGCTTTATTTTAAAAAAAGTACTGAGTATTTATTCATAAAGCATTATATATTATATATATATTATATTTATATTATTATATATATATATATTATATATATTTATATATATTTATATATATTTATATTGTGGCTTGCCTGTAATTATGTTCAGTACTGGGGTGGCGTCCTTGGCTATTTATATTGCTATTCTCAATAGTCACTCAAGTATCGGGTCATCGTCCTGTGGAGAGAGCACTGCTGCTGCTGCTGCTGCCCCTGCCGCTGCCGCTGCTGCTGTCGCCGCTTCTGCCGCTGCCGCTGCTGCTGCTGCCGTTGCCGCCGTTGCTTATATGCAGTGCTAGGGCAACACCTTGTATGGTGCCTGCGTCTTGCTGGACCCAAGCACACGTCCAGTATGAACGCACGCACACAATCATACAGGTGTACACAAACATAGTATATATATATATATATATATATATATATATATATATATATATATATATATATATTATATATATATATATATATATATATATACAAAAATAAAACCGACAAAAATAAAGATGAACATGGATCTGTATATCTCGCTCCAGCTGAGATCATTGCAATAACTGTGTTCTGGTTTAAGTATATTAACCTTCACACTGTCGTGACCATTTATACTTCTGTTCCACAACCACACACACCACACACACACACACACACACTACACACACACATTACACAACCACACACAACAAACATCACAACACACATTAACACACACACCACTAACACACAACACATACACACACTACACACACACACACCACACCACAACAAACACTCGTGAGCTTCTTTGATGCGAGTCGTACCCTTCTACAATAATTTACAATTTACCTCACAAATTCCCTAAATATCATTTCTCCGTTGGAACTGCAGACCTAACTTAGGCGCAGCCTCACTCTGCCAAGCACGGACCTAACTTACTGAGATTGGATGCCGTCACTAGCAAGATTTCCATGACCATCTTAGCAGCTTGTTCCTAAGCTGATCGCAAATCTTGCCTTTCGGGACGCCGACATGTAAATAAAATAAATAAATTATAAATATTATATTACTAGTTATAATAATATAAATAGTAAGTTTAAAACCACATGGAGACAAAAATAAAGATGAACATGGATCTGGAATCTCGACCTCCAGCTGAGATCCTTTTCAATAACTGTGTTCCTGTGTTTAAGTATATTTAACCTTCACACTGTCCGGTGACCATTTATACTCTGCTGTTCACACACACACACACAACACACACACACACACACACACACACACACACACACTCGTGAAGGCTTCTTTGATGTGAGGTCGTTACCGTCTCC